CAAAATTTTGGGACTCTGGTAGAAATTTTTACAACCAACAAAGGGTGGGGGATGGGTGGGGGAGAAAAAGCCTTCCAAGACATCTGGCCTGGGCTAGAGCTCCAGACTAAGTGCCTGGGCCAGTGCTGTGCTTTCCTGTTCATCACCTAGGAAAGCAGATTCCCATTCAGTGTTAAAGGGTTTATGGTACTGGATGTACATTCAAATCCTGGTTCTGACACTCAATACATGACCCATAGACAAGCCCAGGAGCCTGAGCCTCAGTTTCCCCATCTGTACTTCAGAACAACAGACTTTAGATCAAGAAGACCTGAATTCAAACCCTATCTTAAAAACTTGTTAGCTATGGAAGTAACATTTCATATAATTTCACATGTATAATTGATATCATATTGCTTGCCTTCTCAGTGGGCATGGAAGGCAGTGGGAAAGAAAGAAACATTTTAGAACTCCGTTAAAATAGAATGTTAAATATATAACACATTTAAAAAAATACTTATTAGCTAGGTGACTCTGACCAAATCAGTGAATCTTTCTGAGCCTCAGATTTTTTCATTTGTAAAATGGGGGTTATGATAACACCTACCTCAGAAGAATGGACTTTGTAAACCTTGTTTAAGGTTATTGTTACTTCAAAGATTTATAATTTTGTTAGAGAGGGAGCACCACCAACAAAGATTGCAACCTCTCTTGGTCTTCAAGAGCCGCTGTGGTTAAAAAAAACTTCAGCCTATAGCCAACCTGAGCTTCTTTTCAAGGGTGGTCCTTGCACAGAAGTCATACTCTTTTACCCAAGCCATACTCTCTTATACCCAAAAGGTCTTCCAACTCAATAGGAGCTTGTTAAGTGAGTTTGTATTCTGCTGGCATAGCTTTAGAAAACATATTCACTTACATGTCATGAGGAGTAGGTATTGGAGTAGGATGTTAGGAGAATGCATGGGAATAGGACTTTACTGGGATACCATCAATAAAGTATGACCTATGTTACCTTTCAAGGGATACTTCAAGGAAAGTCTCTTACACTGCATCTTGGAGAGGCACTACAATATAACAGAAAAAGAAATGGGCCCATACTCAGGAGATCTGCCTTTGAATGTCCCCCATCCCCAAAACACACACACACACACACACACACACACACACACACTCTTACTATAGGCAAGTTACTCTTCATGTCTGAGCTTTAGCCTCTCCATTAATAAAATGGGGATAATAATGCCTACTCTCAAAGAGTAGTTATGAATATCAAATGAGATAATGTACATAAAGTATTAGTTTATTTTACCTAAATCTTCAGTTATTGTTATTGTATGCCTTAAAATGCTAGGCTGAAAAATAACTGGGAGTTGGGGAAAAATCATAGAGATAACCTTCAATGAATTCCTTGAACCAAGCAGATACTTTGCCCTTTTACTATGGTTCATTTAACAACAGATGCTCTTTCAACTCAAGCTTGACCAGAGAACTACAGCGTAAGCTCCCCATCACCCCTGCTCAGATTGACATAAGTGAGATAACACAGCAAACCTTCCCACACACAAACACACACACATCCCTTTCACTTTGTTTAGGGCAAAAGACTACTCTTGAGGTGGGGGAGGTGTCTCCAAAAAAGTCAACTTTGACCAACCAGATCTTAAGTGGCTGATGATCACATGGCCAGTAACCTGACTGATATCCCCCTTCTCTGTAGTAATGAGATTCCCAGTGAGAAAGAGTCATTCCCACACTTGTCTCCCATTCTGGTGCTTTATCAGAAAAACCAACTGTCTTTCCCTTCTACCACCCCTGCCTTATCTTAACATATAGGGAAAAAGGAAAAAGAGCAAGATCCTGAGAAATCTGAATCCTGGGCTAAAATTAAGAGATTGGAATTGAGACAACTAAAGGACAAGGGCATCTGTGAAAAAATGAAAATCTCGGAGCAGCTAGGTGGTGCAGTGGATAGAGCACCAGCCCTGAAGTCACAAGGACCTGAGTTCAAATCGGCCTCAGACCAAACACTTGACACTTAACTAGCTGTGTGACCCTGGGTAAGTCACTTAACCCCAATTGCCTAAAAAACAAACAAATAAAAAAGGAAACCAGACAACTTTTTGACATGTCTCTTTCCCTACTTACCCTACTGACCTAAAGGTTTCAGTCCAAAGTCATGATCACTATGACCTTCTCAGTCATTCTCGTCCTCTCTGGCTAAAACAGCTGTTCTCAGCTGGGGAGGAGAAAGAGAACAGAGCTCCCCCCACTTTTTCATGAAAAGGTTTTAAGAGCCAAGGGATTGCTAGAAAACCCAAAGAGGAGCCAAGACAAGTCAAGCTGTCAGAGGAGGAGCCTCCAGCAGACTAGGGCAGGGACTCTACAATCTGCCCACTAATGTACTTTGCACACCATAGCGCCTTAATAAATGCAGGTTGAATAGACTTGGGTCTAAAGGTCAACTAAACAAATGAAGGAGCTATCAGGGAGAACAAGTAGAGGAAACGGAAAGGAAGCAGACCAAAAGAACACAAGTTACCAGCAAACTCTTGCCTCCCTCTCAGATGAGAATCCTATGTAGGTACTACTAGTACCTGTAGCCAGATACTCTTCTCACTGAAATCGGAGGTGGACTAATGGCTGCAGGAATCCAGCAGGGTTTTCCTTCCATGGCAGCACCAAAAGCTGAACCTCCAGAGCTAGATGGGAGCCTCTCCAGGTAGGGGAGCTAGCTACTGCCTTGAAGCTTAGATCTCAAGTTCACTGGTAACTAGAAACCCTTGGCTGAGGCCCAGAAGCGAGAGGAGGCTCTGTCTACTTCTGATTCTGCTCTTCTGAGATTCTAATTTCCCAGGTGTTCTTAACCTTTTGGGGAACACGGATCCCCCTCCTTTGGCAATCTGGTGACTGGACCCCTTGTCAAAAGAGTGTTTCTTTAAAAATCCATAATTTTGGGACAGCTAGGTGGCGCAGTGGATAGAGCACCGGCCCTGAAGTCAGGAGGACCTGAGTTCAAATCTGACCTCAGACCAAACACTTGACACTTACTAGCTGTATGACCCTGGGCAAGTCACTTAACCCCAATTGCCTGAAAGCTCCCTCCAAAAAAAAAATAAAAAAAAATTAAAATTAAAATCCATAATTTTTTGGGAAATGCTAAATTTCAGTTAGAGGTCAGTTAAAATGAAGATATCATTTTTTCCCACTCAAGTTCATAAACTTGCTGAACTCTCTCTATAGACAGTTTAAGAGCTCCTGTTCCATACCCCATCATTTCCCCTGCTCTGGTAGCAGCTTTCATTGACTGTGCTAGGCAGTCAGTTGGGAAGCTCTGCCCTGCTCTACCAGGATTAACTGGCTCCCCCAGACCAGCTCAGCTTAGTAAGCTGATAATTGTGTCTTTATCCTGCAGTGTTCTGCAATGGGTCAAGTGCAGACTTGGGGCTGCACTTGAAGCTTAAGGTCTCCTTGCCCCAGCAGCTTAGCCCAGATGGCTCCTGGTCAAGGCAAACCCCATCTGTGCTGTGACTCTTCAGGCCTATGGCTCAACACAGAGCATACAACAGTTTCTCTATAGTTCCCCTCCCAGTAATGGGAGGTTCCAGATGAATCCAGGGGATTTCCCATTGACACACCAGGAAAACCATGTGACTGGGTAGATTTTCCCAGCAATACTGATCACCTCCCAACGTAACAGGGGCTTACATGAGATTTTTCTCCTCTAATAGCATGAGATGCTTTTAGAAGGAAACTATTCTACTTTCCATGATGACCCTTGTACTCCTCATTCCAACTTCGAGGAAACTAGCTTCTACCCTGGATAGCCCCTAAGGGACTGGGGGCTGCCTAAGGCAGTGCCTCTGGTACCACCTTCATCATTAGGCCTAAGCAAGAATAGGTAGGAGTTGGGGGGGGAGGGGAGGCAAAAAACAGGAGAAAGCAGTTCTCTGCCCCTCTGGGGGGAATCTGGTTTTGGGCAGGGGGAGTCCTGGCTGGGAAGGAAGGTGGGATGCTATTGCTTTTGTATATGACCAAAAATAGCAACATTTTTGTCCTGGATGGCCAGCTGCAAGTGGCCTGGATACCTAGGCCAAATGCCCTAGTCCAGAGGAAAAGAACCTGGGCTCAAATCCTGCCTCAGATTTTTAATACTTGTGGGACATCTTGGGCGAATCATTTAACTTCCCTGAGACTCAGATTTCTCATCTATAAAATGAGGAGTTTGGACTAGAGTGAATCCCTTCTGGCTCTGGATCCATGTTGCTATGATCTTAAGGTCCCATGTGCCCTCACATCAGCTCTTCAACTAATTTCCTTTTGGCTTTCCGTATAGAATGGCCACTTCAGCAGATCACCTGACTAAGAGGAGCTTCTTAATTTGGTGAAGGGCCCTGTGAACTTGTTTTATACACACACACACACACACACACATACACACATACACACACACAATTTACTTATGTTTTAATAGAATTGGTTTCCTTTGTAACCCTGTGTATTTTATGTATTTTAAAATTTCCTTCTCTGAAGGGGTCCAAGGCTTTACCACAGTGCCAAATAAGTGTGTGACAAAAAATAGGTTAAGGACAGCTGGGCTAACCTTAAATGTAAGTGATTATCCTTGACTTTATCTGACACTCCAGACCAGCCCTAGAAAGACTGCAATAATATGTCCAGACCTATGGGCACAGGACAAGCACATTCCATCATCCCCAGTAGCCCCATTTTTTTTTTTACTGGAACATAACCCCAGTTGATTTGCAGGCTGACTGATGTTCAATTTCCTCAGACTTGAGTAAATTACACCAGTCCCCTCCATCCCCTGAGCATCTTCTTAGTTGACTATAAGCATCCAAATGGGGGTGGCTGGGGTGACAAGGGAAATCAGCCTCACCAGTGAGAGATCTGTCCCCTCATGAAATAGTGCATTAGTCATCCTAGAAGAGCTTATGAATGAGGGAAGGAGTGCTCCCACCAAGGGCACATACAAAGTAGGGGGCAGCCCAAGGCAGGATACCTACCTTGGAAATGAGTTCATCGTGGTTGGCCAGGTGAGCCCTGCAATGGATGCAGCTGTAGGTCCGGTGGCAGGAAGGCAGATATGCCTGAAAAGTCTTGGACCTTGTCATCTTCACCATTGGAGCTGCCGCTGAATGCTGCCCAAACTCAGGGGTGGCCCAGGAGGTGCTCCCACAGGATGGGTCGCAGGGGAAACACCGAAAGACGCAGGTAAATGCCGTGGTTTTGGCAGGTGGCGGGTGTGGGGCAGGCTCCACACGCTGGCAGTGGCTTCGGAGGAAGGACTCACTTGCAGGCAGAGGTCTGCGGCACGTTGTCAGCAGCCTGCAGTGCCAAGAGAGGGAAAAATAATTAGCCATGGGACCAAAGCTTCTGACTCATAGCCCAAAAGCTGTCAGAGATACTGTCTGTGAAGTAAGCCAGGAGACAAGGAGAGCCCGAAGTCCCCTCTAGGACCAAAAGGTCTTGTCTCTTAAATGTTCTTCTTTGTCATATCCTCAAAAGAAAATTAAATAGACGAGTGAAGCATTGTAGAGGACCCAATACCACCACTTTTGCTGAATGGTGACAGACACTCCTCCTACATACAACCCCCAAGCTGGAAGCATATTCAACAGCTACCCAGAGTGTCCATTAAAATCCAGCAAGCTGGATGCTACCCACATCTTGACAGAGAGGTGATGGATTGGCTCAGGGCGCAGCATGAGACATTTTTGGACCTGGCCAGTGCAGGACTTTGTTCTCCTTGACTATGCATATTTATTATGAAAGGAAGGTAGAAGAGGGAGAACAGATTTTTGTTAATTGGAAAAAAATTTTAATCCAGAAAGCTGGATCCCAGTCATATTTGCCCCTTAGGGCTAGGAAAGGTCAGACTCCAAAATATGCTGGGCCAGAGCCCATGGGAGAAAAGTCTTCAAGGGAATCCCCTTCCTTGCCTTTGCCCTAGCCCAAGGCTTAGAACCACTGATTCCCAGCACTTGCAAGAAGAATTTCTCATCCCCAAGTGGCACCTCCAGAATCCTCTAAGAGTCACAAAGTCAAAAAGGCAGTGAACCCTAAATCAGCCATTGCTCCTAAAATTGGGCCTGGGAATTGTTGAACTATAAGTTTCTTGTGGACAAGGGCTATGCCATTTTTTCATTCTCACAGTCCCAGCTCACAGCACAGTACACACTGACCATGGCAAGTATTTATTAGGCTTTATTATTTTAATAGGTTTTTATTAAATTGAATTGGGCATAGTGGATGGCCTTAAACATCAGCAGGAGACTGGCTGGCCAACTTCTTTCGAGTATGTCAGTCAGTCAACAAGCATTTATTATTAAGCATCTATTTATTTAGCATATGCCAGGCACTATGCTAAGCCCTAGAGATACAAAGAAAAGCAAAAACACAGTCCCTGCCCTGAAGGCACTCACATTCAACGACATTTGACTAAGTACACACAAGCTATATACAGTGTTATTGCTCAGTCTTTGGGATTTTCTTGGCAAAGATACTGGAATGGTTTGCCATTTCCTTCTCCAGCTCATTTTACAGATGAGAAAACTGAGACAAACAGAGTTAAGTGACTTGCCTAGGGTCATGCAACTAGTCAGTGTCTGAGGCCAGATTTGAACTCCAGAAGGTAAGTCTTCCTGACTCCAGGCCTGGCACTCTCCACCGCACAACCTCTAAGTGGATGTTAATCCAGAGGGAAAGCATTTCCCAAGAGGCAGTACCAGGCCCTACACAGAGGAAAAGCTTAATAAACATTTATGCCATACCCAGACCCTTCCTGTTTGGGGCAGTTTCTGAAGCAGACCTTCTTCTCTGCCCTCCCTGGTCATCTTGGACTTAATAGAGAGGGTAAACGTCTAACCCCATGAAGCTACATCTCTTCTGTTGGGAGCTGACTACACCAAGAATGTGTGATGCTCTTCACAGGGCAGCCTTGTGACATTGGGTGCTCATGGCCAGGGGCTAAGCGGAGGCCTCACATGGGGGAGGGGGAGGTCCACAGGTTTCAAGGCCATCCTCAGGCCCACTCAGCTATTGTGAAGCCTGTTTATTTCCTGGGCTTCTTTCGCTGGGGGTGCTCCCATTCGCCTACCTCCCAGGAGAGTTGTGAGTGTTAATTAACACTTGCATCATGCTTTGAAGATAAAATTATTTAGAGAGATGGGGGAAGAAGACAAACAAAATCAAGTCTTCTCTTACTGGATTATATCTGGGATCCATCTGGCTTTTCAGAAAGCATACAAAACACTGTCCCCTTCTTACCAGGCCTACCACTTTTGTGGTGAATCTTCTAAGAGAGTCCTTTCAGTTCTGCCCACTTCTCCTATCCTAGAACCCTAGAGCTAGTCACCAAAAGCCCACATATATACCCAGATTATAATAATAATTATAGCAGCATATAAAGACTTTCATAGTAATTTACATACATTATCTCAGTTGTACCTTCAAACAACTTTATAACAAGTACTACAATTTTTTTGAGAGGGTTGCTAGGCAATGGGGTTAAGTGACTTGTCCAGGGTCACACAGCTAATGTCAAGTGTCTGAGGCTGGATCTGAACTCAGGTCCTCCTGACTCCAGGGCCGGTGCTCTATCCACTGTGCCACCTAGCTGCCCCCACCACAAATATTTTTAATTCCACTTTACATGAGGAAACAGGATCAGAGATATTGAATGACTTTAGTGGGATTCAAACCCAAGTCTCCTCTGATTCCCACATGCTTCTTTTAACATTTAACTAGTTGAATTTGAATGAACACTCAGGCTTGAGGTACCGATAGCCTGAGCTCAAGAGTGTGAGATTTCTCTTCCATGGGCACTGAGCCAGGAAAACCTTCAGTTTGACTAGGTTAAAGCTGAGATATCCAGCTTTTGACGAAGGGACCTAGAGTAAGCATGGCTACATGACAGGGCCCAAGGCACAAGATGTGCTCTCCTTCCCCCCTCTCCATATTTTTAATCAAGGGTGAAATGAAGTTGAAATGAAGATGGAAGAGGAAAAGTTGTCACAAATGGACAGTGTGCAGCTTGAGGGAGCATGGGGGGAGGGGGACAGAGAAGGAGCAGTCCTATGGGCCTGGCTTTGGTGGCAGGACCTCAGGCATGGGTCCATGTGAGGATGCCTGGGGGAAAGGCAGCAGGGGCTGGGAGCAACCAGTATCCAGGGCTGCTACAATGTTTCCTTTCCTCAGGAGGCTGCCTCAGAACCATTTTCTGGCATGACTTTATGTGAAAGAAGGCCCTCCAAGCACTCCCTGTCACTGTCTGAGTTGTCAATCAGCATCAAGGCAAACCAGCATGGTACTGTATTAAAATTGTGGTTGGGTTAATGCCAACTGACCAGTCAATGACAATGGTGGAAACTTCTTACCCTTTGTTTTCATGTGCCCCCATTATGATGAGGCCCCATTTAGTATGGAATCATTGGATTTTTGAGATTTTAGTGACCTATGTAGTCTAACCCTCTCATTTTATAGAAGGTGACTTGTCTATGGTAACACAGGTCAAGATTCTCAAACTCAGGTCTTCTGAGTAATGTTCCTACCATTACATCACGTGGGAACAAAATTCCTGCCTAAGGTCACATTTGCTAATGGTAAGGTCCTACATAAGTCACTACCCAGCCATTGGACAGCACAAGACCTTCCCTTCCCTTTCTTTGTGACCCCACCCCCCAACCCACAGAGCCCAGGAGAGTCACCCCAGTGAGTCATACCCTACGGCTGTAAGTTTACCATTGACAAAAGTGTCATCTTTGGGGGCTAAAACTGAACCACTGTGGGTCAGTTATTATGAAAATGTGAAATATCCCTGATAGAAAGACCCTGATAACCCACTTGGGGTTTCCTGAGCTCCTCCCTTGTTCCTTTACCATGAAATGCTGAAAATGCAGCAGCTCAGAAGGACAGAACTCCTAGAAGTCTGTAGAAGACTGGAAAGAACAGCAGCAAAGAAGACAAACAGCTTCTCCTTGAACCAAATGCTTCTGAAGTCCAGTCTTGACTGCTAGATGGGGGAAGGCAGGGCGGAAGGGAGGACAAGCTCTGACCCCATCCACCCCCCATCCTGTGCAAACACTGTGGGAGGAAAAGAAAACAAGCCCCTGGCTGCCAGTCTGGGTTTATACAGCAGCTGCAGAGTCTGTTTTCTTATCCGTACAGGGCAGATTCTAAATTATGCATTTACCAGGAGCAGGATTATTTCTTCTTTCACTTCTGTTCTTCAGGAGGAGGAGGAAAATCAAACAGGAAGAGAGGTTCTGGTTTTGCTCAACCCTGGGTCCTAAAACTTATTCATATCTTCTATCTCAGAGATGGGCATGTGCGTATGCTGGCAGATGTGTGCCGTGTACACACACACACAATCTCCATACTGCAGTACTGAACAAAAAACAAGCAAGGGCCAAAGGCACTAATTCATTAGCATCAGGGAGCCCTCCTCAGACAGTGAAGCTGTAGAATCTCCTTTAAGAGACTGAGGGAGAATCTCAGCTTGGCCGGCTGCCATCTTATTCATACTCCTTTTTCTTTTTTTTTTGGGGGGGGAAGGTAGCTTGTTGAAAGAGAAGAAAGCCACTGTCTCAGGTGTGTGAGAAAGAAGAGAGAAAAGGGAAAGGAGAGACTAGCACAAGAGGATTCGGGGAAGGCCTGCAAGGTTAAGATGAAAGGAGGAATTAGACGAAAAAGACAACCTTTAAGTAATAAACTACTACCTACCAGATGCAGGGGGGAGGGAGGAAGGGGGAAACCAGACTACTTCTATGTCTTTGTCCTGGATTCTCAGGTGAAAACAAGAGTAAATATAAAGTCTGATGGAGAGAAGTGGGGAAAAAAGGAAGAGCCACGTTAGGGGCTCTAAACAATCCTTGGACAGAGTCTGCTTCTAAGTCACTATAAGCTTTAAACCATCTGGGCCTTTAGTTTTGTCCTCTGTAAATGAGGGGCATGGTTTTTGGTGAAGCCCAGATTGATTTCCAACTAATCAAATAAGCTCAATATTTAAAAGCCTCAGGGTACATGTACAAATTAAACACCATTTAAAATGATGTAATAATCTATCACTGGGAAAATTAAAGAAAGATTTGCTACCACCAGCAGCCGGTTCCCTCCTATCAAGCAAAGGAGAGAGAAGTAAAGACGTGAAATATTATTATTAAAAACAAGGAACTTGGCAACACCCTATCAAGGGTAAAGTCCACCAGCAGCACACTCCAGACCTTGCCAACATATGTGGCCAAAACTCCTTCACCCAGACAGATGCCTTTTCCGGAATGAGCCATAACCAAAACAGTAAAATCCCAATAATCTCAACCCAAAAGTAC